ATTGTTTTTCTATTGGAAAGTTGTCTAAACTAGAGCTAACTCTTCTATAGAAAAGTTGTCGAGACTAAAGCATTTCTATGTCACCAACTACCCTGAGAAACCTTGTAAACCTAATTGACTGTGTAGGGTCCATAAGATAAAAATGCATTGTGCATATCACTTTAAAGTTTTTTAAGGGCTCCTTGTACAATGACTTTGTGGTGAAATCGTTTCTTATTTTTTTAAAAAGTACAAAAATAACATAAAACTAAAAAAAGAGTGAAAACGACTTTAAGGTTACCATGGATGAGTGTGTCTTTATGTTGGTTGTATAAAAATAGAACCGGAAAAATTCTTTGCAAGAGGCGTTGTTTTCTGGCATATCTTAGAATGTATAAAAAATACAGAAAAAGAAGTCGTTATAAAAAATTGTGTAGGCTTCTTTTTTCATTAAAGAAAATAAATTTTTGTAACCAACTCAATGACTAAATGCAAAGATCATTGTATTTTTTTTTTAAATCCATGACTAATGCAGTTTTATTTTAATTTTCAAAAAAAATATAATTTATTTTAATAATAAAAGTGAGGTGTGTAAAAAAAATTTCAATATTTTGGAAATTTCTTTTAGAGGTGGGTGGGTGGTTGTTCGTGATGATTAACTTTTATTAAAATTTATTAATACAATTAAATAATTATTAAATGAAGATAACAAAAACAAAATTATATATTTATTTAATGACCATATTAACCGAAAAACAAGGCCATAAATAATGTCTGGCCTTAAAGGAAGACAATGTTTTAAAAGAAAACTTATTAAATGTGTCATAAATTATTTAGTACATCTGATTTAAAATGAAAGTGATTCAGTTGTGAATTTTTAAAAAATATATATTCAGAAAAAGTGCAAAATTCTAATGAATTTTCAAAAGCCCACGTAAAATTATTTCAAAATAACTTCTGAGAAAAATGAACGTTAAATTTCAAAATTTTTACTGTGAAGAGTTTAAGGGTGACCAGGCGCTTTTAAAATTTAAATGATGACATCAGTTTTATCACTTGTGCCACTTTTTAATTTAATTTCTTATTAATAAACTTTTCTTAGAAATTTGTTAAGGTGATCTAAACGATTTTTTTTTTTTTTTGGAGGTGTTTATAAATTATTGATTCTTTACATCAGACGAACTTTAAAAAGACTCCACTAGAGCAAATTTCCTGTGGAGAAGTTAGGTACATACATATGTAATCTTTTCTATGGAACAAACTCTGAACTATAGGTATAGGAAAGTTTTACAAACAAGGTAATGCAGACTATAGACAAGTTGACTCGAGCAGATCAAGTTTTCCTATAGAAAAGCTAACGCCAATTTGTGGTCAGATAAACTCACAACTTTTGTTTTTGAAAAATGCGACTTGATCGAATTCCTAATCTTATATACATGTGCTAATCTGTTGATTAGTACATGTATAAAAGTACTTACTTAACAGGCATGGAAAATTAAGTACTTTCGTACTTTTTTCAGTACTTTATATATCGAAAACTACTGCGGTACCGCCACGACATTTCAGTACTTTTTTAATATATAAACTTTTGATAAGTAGTCTACATAGTAGTCAATATACCAGTCTCTCATCTAGTCTGGTATCTACTCAAGTCTATAGACTTGTGCATATTCTAGTCTATTTTCTAGTCTAGTCTATAGTCTAGTCTATAGTCTAGTCTATAGTCTAGTCTATAGTCTAGTCTATGGTCTAGTCTATAGTCTAGTCTATAGTCTAGTCTATAGTCTAGTCTATAGTCTAGTCTATAGTCTAGTCTATAGTCTAGTCTATAGTCTAGTCTATAGTCTAGTCTATAGTCTAGTCTATAGTCTAGTCTATAGTCTAGTCTATAGTCTAGTCTATAGTCTAGTCTATAGTCTAGTCTATAGTCTAGTCTATAGTCTAGTCTATAGTCTAGTCTATAGTCTAGTCTATAGTCTAGTCTATAGTCTAGTCTATAGTAGTCTATAGTCTAGTCTATAGTCTAGTCTATAGTCTAGTCTAGTCTATAGTCTAGACTATAGTCTCTATAGTCTAGTCTATAGTCTAGTCTATAGTCTAGTCTATAGTCTAGTCTAAAGTCTAGTCTATAGTCTAGTCTAGTCTATAGTCTAGACTATAGTCTAGTCTATAGTCTAGTCTATAGTCTAGTCTATAGTCTAGTCTATAGTCTAGTCTATAGTCTAGTCTATAGTCTAGTCTATAGTCTAGTCTATAGTCTAGTCTATAGTCTAGTCTATAGTCTAGTCTATAGTCTAGTCTATAGTCTAGTCTATAGTCTAGTCTAGTCTAGTCTATAGTCTAGTCTATAGTCTAGTCTATAGTCTAGTCTATAGTCTAGTCTATAGTCTAGTCTATAGTCTAGTCTATAGTCTAGTCTATAGTCTAGTCTATAGTCTAGTCTATAGTCTAGTCTATAGTCTAGTCTATAGTCTAGTCTATAGTCTAGTCTATAGTCTAGTCTATAGTCTAGTCTATAGTCTAGTCTATAGTCTAGTCTATAGTCTAGTCTATAGTCTAGTCTATAGTCTAGTCTATAGTCTAGTCTATAGTCTAGTCTATAGTCTAGTCTATAGTCTAGTCTATAGTCTAGTCTATAGTCTAGTCTATAGTCTAGTCTATAGTCTAGTCTATAGTCTAGTCTATAGTCTAGTCTATAGTCTAGTCTATAGTCTAGTCTATAGTCTAGTCTATAGTCTAGTCTATAGTCTAGTCTATAGTCTAGTCTATAATCTAGTCTATAGTCTAGTCTGTAGTCTAGTCTATAGTCTAGTCTATAGTCTAGTCTATAGTCTAATCTATAGTCTAGTCTATAATCTAGTCTATAGTCTAGTCTATAGTCTAGTCTATAGTCTAGTCTAGTCTATAGTCTAGTCTATAGTCTAGTCTATAGTCTAGTCTATAGTCTAGTCTATAGTCTAGTCTATAGTCTAGTCTATAGTCTAGTCTATAGTCTAGTCTATAGTCTAGTCTATATTCTAGTCTATATTCTAGTCTATAGTCTAGTCTATATTCTAGTCTATAGTCTAGTTTATAGTCTAGTCTATATTCTAGTCTATAGTCTAGTCTATAGTGTAGTCTATAGTCTAATCTATAGTGTAGTCTATAGTCTAGTCTATAGTCTAGTCTATAGTGTAGTCTATAGTCTAGTCTATAGTGTAGTCTGTAGTGTAGTCTATAGTGTAGTCTATAGTGTAGTCTATAGTCTAGTCTATAGTCTAGTCTATAGTCTAGTCTATAGTCTAGTCTATATTCTAGTCTATAGTCTAGTCTATAGTGTAGTCTATAGTCTAATCTATAGTGTAGTCTATAGTCTAGTCTATAGTCTAGTCTATAGTGTAGTCTATAGTCTAGTCTATAGTGTAGTCTGTAGTGTAGTCTATAGTGTAGTCTATAGTGTAGTCTATAGTCTAGTCTATAGTCTAGTCTATAGTCTAGTCTATAGTCTAGTCTATAGTCTAGGCTATAGTCTAGTCTATAGTCTAGTCTATAGTGTAGTCTATAGTCTAGTCTATAGTATAGTCTATAGTGTAGTCTATAGTCTAGTCTATAGTCTAATCTATAGTCTAGTCTATAGTCTAGTCTACCGGAAAATTAGTTTAGTACTTTGTAGCCATGTATGCAACTTAAAAAGTTGAGTAGGGTACTGCGATATCATTCGATATCAAAAAGTACTAAATAAGTAATTAATTTTCCATCCCTGATATAAATTCAATTAAATCAAGTTATGTTTAAAAGTGGCCCTCATAAATTAGCTACTTTGCCTTAGATTTTCAAACCCTTATCTATTTGCACTGGTCACCCTAAAACTCTAACCTTTATGCCGGCATATTTGCAAGTTTTATCAACAATAACAACAACACCAAAATGCCGGCATATTCAATTACTTTTTTTTTTGAGAAATCAAATACTGAATACTCACACTATGTGTTTTTGTTTTCTAATCATAATTTTAAGGCAAAATACAGACAACAAAAACAACAATATAACCCCTGTTTTTATACTAGGTCAACAAAATGTAACGTAATACATATTATGACGTTTAAAAGTCAAGTAGCAAAAACAGGAAGAATACAATATTAGAAAAATCAATAAATAATAAACGAAAAAAAAGACGAATTTCAATGGGAGTAAAAAAGAAATAAAAAGAAAAAACATACGATAAGAAAAGTATAAACAAAATGACAAGGTGTTTAAGTAAATAACCGTTAGTTGGATGGTTGAAGAAAAAGAGTAGGAAGAGGGAGGGGTTTAAAAGAACAAATAATCATAATAAATTTTTAGCTAAAAATAAACTTTAAAAAAATGTATAAGACTGCAATCTTATTAAATAATAATTTATTATTAGTAGGATTTTTGTTGTTGTTTTTGAGGTTTTCTTTAATAAAATTTCTTTTTTTTTTAAGGGGAGCATAAAAATCTAAATAGAATTTAAGAGAATTCTGTTTTGGTGAGTTGCTTTTCTATTTGCTTTGGTTTTTTTAAGAGCTGCTGTGCACAAAAACTTATATTTGTTGTTTTTGTTGCTAGAAATGAAGGTCACTAAAGGTCGCTTGAAAATTTTGCTTTATAAAGGAAATTCTAAGCAATTTTTCTTTCATAAAATTATTAAAAATGCAAGAAAATTTATTTTATTTTTTTCTTTTTAATTTAAAAAAATATTATTTAAAATTAATATGATATGTCAAGTGTTTTTTTTTTGCATGAAAAAAAGCCAGTCAAAGACATTTTGATTTTTTATTAAAATTTTTTTCTTTCTTTTTTTTTCTGTCTTAAAGCCATGATTTTTTTTTGTCATTGGTTTCTAATTTATGTTTGAACTTATTAACAATTTCTTTGCCATGCTGCATAATTTAGTTTTTTTTAATTTGCATTTTTTTGTAACTTTTGCCCTGTAAAACTTACTGCTCATTTTGTTTGTTTTTTATTTTAAAATTTTATAACACTTAAAAAAATTCACTTTTTTAAAAAATCTCTAAGGATTTTTTTTTTTAATTTTTAATTTTTTTTTTTATTTTAACAAGACGGTAAATTTTGAATTTTTTTAATTGCTTTCAAGACCCGTTGAGTTTTTGTTATTTTTTTTTTCAATTAATTTCTTTAGCTGTTTAGTAGAAGAGAAATGCTGTTGTTTCGTACAGCAGCGGCGAGTAACTGAATCAATATATTAAAGGTTGGTTATATGGAAAGCCTGCATAGACAGCCTCAAACGTCATTATGAGCGCACAGCAAACATCATCATCATCATCATCGTTAACATCGACAGCATGACAAATAGTCAGAGGAGCCACCATAATCAGCAGTAGACTTTACCAACCAACAAACATGTGTGTTCACTTGAAATACAACAACAACAACACACACATAAATATATACATATGTATATCTATACTTGTACATTTATATATCTAACCATCCTTACCCACCCCAGAGACCCCATATAATGGCTGTTGTATATACATTTTGTTTTATTCTTTAAGAAAATACCAAGAAAATGGTAGAAAATAAAACAAAAACGCCAACGTTAAGAATTTTGCGCATTGTCTTGTCTTATAATTTTTGTTTTTTTCTTCTTTTGAAAACATTTTATATCTTTTTTTTAATAAAATTCCCTCTATACTTATTTCTATAGACTACACTGTTGCTTATTTGTTTTTTTTTTCTAAGTGGGCGCCTTTCTTTTTTGTTTTGCAGCTTTTCTTAGTGCATCAAATAAGAAACGAGACAATATAGAAAAAAACAACAATAATAAATAATATTAGCAAATCTAACCAAACATACCTACATATTGTTTATAAAATTGATAAAATTATATTTATTATTTCTATTTGCTTATGATTAACTATACCAGGCTTGGAAAGTTCAGTAGTATTGTACTTTTTAAGTAAGTTTTGACGTCATGATATATTTACATAATTTTTCCAAAATTTTGCTTATAAAAGGATTGTTAATAGGCTAGTAAATATAATAGCCAATAGGCTAGTCAAGAGATTAGTCAATAGACTACTCCATAGACCAGTCAATAGGCTAATAAATAGACTGGTCCATAGACTAGCAAAAATAATAGTCAAAAAACTAGTAAATAGACTACTTAATAAATTGTTCAAAATTATAGTGTATAGACTAGTCCACAGATTAGTCAAAATACCACAGACTAGTCAATAGGTTAGTTAAAATGCTAGTCCATAGATTAGTCAGCAAACTAGTCCACAGATTAGTCAATATACTTCTAACTAGACTATTCCACATACTTATCAATAGACTAGTCAACAGATTAGTCAATAAACTGTTCACAGATAGTTTAGTCAACATATTACTCAACAAACTAGTCCATAAACAAGTCAATAGATTAGTCCATAGACTGGTCGACAGAATACTCCATAGACTAATCAATAGACTTGTCAACAAACTAGTCCAAGTCAATATACTTCTAACTAGACTATTCCACATACTTATCAATAGACTAGTCAACAGATTAGTCAATAAACTGTTCACAGATAGTTTAGTCAACATATTACTCAACAAACTAGTCCATAAACAAGTCAGTAGATTAGTCCATAGACTGGTCGACAGAATACTCCATAGACTAATCAATAGACTTGTCAACAAACTAGTCCAAGTCAACAGGCTAATAAATAGACTGGTCCATAGACTAGTCAAAAATCTAATCAAAATAATAGACAAAAAACTAGTAAATACTATTTACTAAATATTGTTCAAAAGATTAGTATTTAGACTAGTCCACTAGTCAATTGGTTAGTTAACATGGTAATCCATAGATTAGTCAGCAAACTAGTCCACATATTAGTCAATATACTTCTAAATAGACAAGTCAACTGACTAGTCAACAGACTTATCAATAGACTAGTCAATATGATAGTGTATAGACTTGTCCATATCCAAGTCCACAGATTAGTTAACATAGTAGTCCATAGTTTAGTCAACATACTAGTCCACAAACCAGTCAACAGGCTAGTCCATAAACTATTCAATAGATTAGTCCATAAACTGGTCGACAGACTACTCCATATATTTAAATATAGACTTGTCCATAGTCAATAGATTTGTCCAAAAACTGGTCGATATGATAGTGTATAGACTAGACCATATCCTAGTCCACAGATTAGTTAACATACTAGTCCATAGTTTAGTCAACCAACTAGTCCACAAACCAGTCAACAGGCTAGTCCATAAACTAGTCAATAGATTAGTCCATAAACTGGTCGACAGACTACTCCATAGACTAGTCAATAGACTTGTCGACAAACCAGTCCAAACATAAGACAGCAAACTAGAACACAGACTTATAAATATACTAGCCAATAGACTTGTCCATAGTCTAGTCTATACACTAGTCAAGTTCAAAGACTTTGAATTCAATTGTCCATGCCTGAACTTCATCATAAAACATATTTATTGTATTTCATTTACTATGTCTTCTTCGGATTTAAGAGCAATTTCTCTTTTGTTCACATCAAAGAGAGACTAATTTAATAAAATGAGAGCTTAAAAATGGTATGCTCTCATAACAGTGAGCAACAAAACAATACGAACCATTTCTAAAATTAAAAAAAAACTAAAAAATTTAGACATTATTGCAAATCAAAACCACTTCATATTCTAAACAGCAACTTGGAACTACTGAAATCAGCACTACTTTTGTAACTCGTTCTCTGTAACAGAGACGGTATTTTATATACTTTTAAAGAGTTTGCTGGGAACTAGTTCTTTCTAGTTTTCCAGCAGTTCAGACCATTTCCAGTATGGGGTGATCTATCCTCTACTTTGGCTTATTGATGTTCTTTGAAAGATACTAGATGCCCACTATCACACCTAAACGGGGTAGAATTAACACTCTCCGCCACTGCAAAATATCTGGCCATTATTCTAGAATCTAGATTCCAAATTAACATAGAGCCGGAACGTTTAAACATGGTCCTCTAAGGCATCTATCGCTCAATATGCTGTAGGAAAGCCCTATGAAATGGAGCATACGCCCCTAAACTGCGAAATGCTTATACGGCTTTGGAACAAAGCCCATTCTAATGTCTGTTGGAAAGCCTTGATCCACCTACTGTATTTATATAGAAGTAATAATGCTTACCTCTGTACTTATGACAACTGGTGCTATTCGTATTACGTCATCACATGCTCTCTTCTTACTTCTACATTGTTTGCCTGTCGATCTGTTGGCCAAACAGCTGGTTCTTAACTTGGCAATTAGACAATTTCTTAATTTTCGTAAGAATCACTCTACTCACATCTACACATAGATGGTTTCAAGTCCTCAATGGGTGTGATAGACGGTTTCTTTGTGGCACTTAATTAAAACATGAATAAATCGGTTAACCACGATTTGGTAACAATCTCCGAAAGGGGTCCTGCTAACAAAGTCGATGTCCATGCTCCACAGAAGTGGTGAAAAAATAGCATCAAGAAGAATTCTCCTCTTGAAATGAATGAAAAAGAATTCTCCTCTTGAAATGATTTCACAGCCCTTATAAAGGGGTTTATCAATGTATACAATGCCATTATCAATCAATGACAGTTTTTCAAATTTGTGCGATTTAAAATGTCAAAAACCATTACTATCTATTGTGAATGATACTTCAAACTATTCTTATCGTTTGTATTTATTTTACTACATATGTATATTATATTACTTGTTTGACAATATAAACAGCTGATTTTGACAATAAAATTTAAGCCAAAAACATGCGCAAAACAATTGAATCCACCACAAGAGTAACATTGCCGGTGGGGTTTTTTGTCTAAACATAACAATACATGCTTAAACATGCATACACCTATGAATGAGAAATCATAAACAAAAGAATGCATGCATACACATGACCCTTACTAGATAGAGTACAACAAATTGAACGAACTCAAACACAAAGTAGAAAATCAAAACACATGTAGCTTTTTGGGAGGTTTTATGAGGGGATTTCTACTGTTTTCCTGTGTATGAATATACAAAACAACAACCTTCAAGAGCAAAATAAATGCGCCGGTTCCGTATTTTGAATGAAGAAGAAGAAGCAAAAAGGCGAACTAAACAAGACGACTCAATTACTATGGGGAATTCGAAAAAAAAAAACAAGAAAACAAACTGAGAAAAAAATAACTTTTTACAAGGCTGTGCTTACATGAACATGTTAAAACATGCTAAAGCAAAACTCAGCTATTACATGGAATGGATGGATAGAATGTTATGATGAATGGTGCTAATGTATGGTGCTAAGAGTATTCTGGCAAACGTACAGAGACCCACCTATATATGAGGAAAATCAGTACGAATTGAGCAGTTGGAAAATACGGTCATAAAAACAAAATGAAAGTTAAGTTAAACGCGAAAAATCGAATTTTCTTTATTAAAGATGGGGCGAATACAAAAACGGATGTAAATTAAAGTGTTTGTGTGAGTGTGTTCAAGTCTATGTGTGTGACTAAATTAAGAAAATATACCAAAAATAATACAAAAAAATTAGAATATCTTAAAGTAATTTTATAAAATATATCTAAAAGAATTCGTTTATTTTAATACAAATGTTTAAAAAATGTAAAAATGATGTGTGAGATATTTATTTAAAAGACAAATGAAGCAATTATTACTACAGCCTAAAAATATGCTTTAATTTTTCTGTGGTTAAAGTTATTATTTTCAAATATAGCAAAACGTCATGAGCATTAATTGGACCTTCATGGTTCTACGTACAAAACATACATATGTACATAGAAAGTAGTGCTATGTAATTTTAAAAAATGGGGAAAACAAATTTGGTACAATTTGTACATTTTATGGTGCCAAAAAAATTATAAAATGTTTTTCACACAAAAGGGAATTGACCGAGAATTTGTCTATATCGATTTACAAAGTTAGTAAATAAAAATTCCAAAATATTAAAGAAATTGTATTATTAGAATTTCTGAACTAGAACTGAAACTAGAACTGAAGCATAGAACTGAACTAGAACTGAACTAGAACTGACGAGAATGAACTAGAACTGAACTAGAACTGAACTAGAACTGAACTAGAACTGAACTAGAACTGGAAACTAGACTAGAACCTGAACATAAATGGAACTGAACTAGAACTGAACTAGAACTGAACTAGAACTGAACTAGAACTGAACTAGAACTGAACTAGAACTGAACTAGAACTGAACTAGAACTGAACTAGAACTGAACTAGAACTGAACTAGAACTGAACTAGAACTGAACTAGAACTGAACTTAAACTGAACTAGAACTGAAGAGCTAGAACTGAACTAGAACTGAACTAGAACTGAACTAAAACTGAACTAGAACTGAACTAGAACTGAACTAGAACTAGAACTGAACTAGAACTGAACTAGAACTGAACTAGAACTGAACTAGAACTGAACTAGAACTGAACTAGAACTGAACTAGAACTGAACTAGAACTGAACTAGAACTGAACTAGAACTGAACTAGAACTGAACTGAACTAGAATGAACTAGAACTGAAAGAACTGAACTAGAACTGAACTAGAACTGAACTAGAACTGAACTAGAACTGAACTAGAACTGAACTAGAACTGAACTAGAACTGAACTGAACTAGAAAC